ATGATAGGCCCCAGAGTCGTTCGAATCACCACGCACTCCGCCGCGCAATTTGCCGCGCGCATCCTCGGACGCACGTAAGTACCCATACCCGTGGCGCACAATCGCATCCACCCACGGAAGATCAGGAGATCGAATCCCGTATTCTCATCTGCCCCTTTCAACCGAGTCTTCTATCCCTTTGGGGTTGGTTAACTGGTACCAGACTCGTCTTAGAGAATTGAAGAACTGGCTTGTACGTGTTGGCCAATGCAATTCTTTGTATCGGCCACAATCACATTCGAACCGCCACTATTACTTCGAATGGAGGTCGGGTGCAGGGCGCATCTAAGAAATAGGATTGATTAACACCAAAACACCTCAATACTTTTACTGTGTCATTCCTACAGTTTAGTCCTTCGAGGGAGGAACTTACATATTGTTTCTGATTTTTCTGAACCCTGTAACCTATAAAATTGCCAGGAAATGAGAGTTATAGTTCTTGAAGTATCTCATTTCAATTTCGATTAAACTAATTTCACTATGCCTCTCAGAACTCATAAATGGCTTTCTTCTTGTTCTACAGCGAAAGTCATTGTGATAAGAGCCTAAATTACCACTGACAAGCTGGAAAACTACTCTAGATCTTTTCGATTACGCTGTTGTCTTTGAAGCTCCTACCATGCTGTATGAATTTGCAGTTTGTTTCCAAACTGTTACTCAGTAGACTTGAGTAATGGCAAACTGTTAGGTTGTACAATATATTGGGAATGAATATAACATGAACAGTATGGGTTAGGAACTCTCTGAGGTTCAGATGGCGATGCTCTCGATGATAGTATTGTGACCGAGCCCTGGCTGCGTGATTTCAAGCTTCCACGGACTCGGCTACGATACTCTTATCTATGAACATTATTTTTTATTGGTTGCAATAAAAATCCTCATTCCAAAGGGTGTCTTCGAGACTCGATGACGTTACCCGCTTTTTCCTCCGAACAATATTCTCCAACTCTCTCGTTTTACCCATTATCAGACAGAATTTGCTGTTAGCAGTTCCATTTCACAGTTTTTACCTAACAGTGATATATGTACCATATGTATGTGAATGAGAACGTTCCCCGATTTTGGTCTGACAAGGCTCAGAGGCTTTCCCTAAACGGCACATCGCTGTTGATGCAGCTCATAGTTTGACTTCAGCCTGAGTCTGGAACGTTTCCCGTTCCTTTAGAGCGGCTAAATGGTACCAGCCCCATTCATGTAGTAAGTTATGAGCGCTGAGTAGAGTTTTTCATCTTCTGCATATTAAAAGCGAATCTATTTGTTAAATTTGTGGATATTAATTGCGTCTAGCAAAGGTTGAGTCCATTTGCCGGTAATCTGTTCTTTGTGGGAGGCGTACCAATCGAAATCGTAGTAAATTGATAACTATTTTGAGATATTCAAAGAACGGGGCGTTGAGATATTCAGAGAAAACCTCAAAATTGACAACGGTGCTGAGCCTTCACAATGACACAACGAAGGAATTTGAAGTGGGGGTTGAGAGTGTCGGGAGGGGAAAGAGAGGGAATGGAAGCGGGTAGGAAGAGGTTGGGGTTTAATGTCAAATTGCAGAATAGGAATACCTATGGAGATACCTTAACGATTTCAAATGGAAGTCAAATGCGTGGCACATACTAACAGTTCTACGCCGAATGCTTCCATTTCTGGTTCTGTTATAGTTTTGGTTGTAAGGCGGCAGAATATTTAATCCTGCATGTATATTTTTCAATTCTCTCTACGATTTCTGACTTTTCGACTTTAAATCATAGCTTTCTTTGTTCGATTATGGCCACCATTACCGTAATACTCATTTACCTCTTATCTACTACTTTACTTTTTATCCAAATGGCAATAGTTTCAAAATTGGTCATTGACTCTAATGCATATTTTCAGTTGGTTATATCGAATTCGCCCATCAGTGGTTCACAAGCCGTTCGAGAAAGTTAAAACTGAAAACTTCACCAATAACTTTGCTGGAATCGAACCGACACCTAACCAATACCGATGGCATCCATTTCCGCTGCCAAACAAGGAAGGAGTAGATTTTGTGCAGGTGAGGAGAATCCTCTATCCTTCAAGAACTCTCTGGCGCCTTGTAATTACCCCAACAGATAGGTTAAATGGGGAAAGTTTGATTATTCTGAATTGAAGTCGAATGGGGAGGATGCATCCTTCACTACCCTTCTGGAGTTGGATTATGATTTGCGCGCGCGCGTCAAGTCAATATCCATGCCACAGTTTATGTCTAAAGGTGCAGGAATGAGAACATTTTTGTAAATGACTTAAAGGGTTAATTAAGTGAGAGTATGGAACAATCAAAGGATAAGTTAAAGTTTGGGGCTTTATTATGGGGAGGTTTGGCTCCATTCAACTAATGAAGTACTTGACTCATACAGTAGTCAACGAAAACAGTAACAGAGCAAAGGAAGTCACCATTTCAGGGTCTGTACACGATCTGTGGAGGAGGCGATGTGGTGTCCCGCACCGGTCTGTCAATTCATCAGTACTCATGTAACTCATCGATGACTGGGAAAGCCATGTACAATTCTGATGGGGATTTCCTCATTGGTAAGTAATTATCTTACAATAAAGTGATGTGCTGAAGAGAATGCAGGAAAATGTACTATGAAGTGCACAAGAAGGGTAATAAGTTGGTGAGAACAGTAATAAGTTGAAAATGTAGGCTTGCAGTCAAGGAATTACTCTTAGGCTCATAAGGGAAAGGGAGATAAGGATACAAGTAATGAGACTTTGGCCCTAATCGTTTCCATTTCGGGACGTGCTCTCTTTGGTTCAGAACTCGACTTCGGATGGGTAAGGTAAGATCGTTGGGTCATGTTCCTTATCATTTACAATCATTTTTCTCCCCAGCGACCATTACCCATGGATCTCAAGATCATAAATACTGCAGCGAAATCTCGACTGAGCAGCTTATTAGAAACGCTATCTGACTACACCAAAAAGTTGATTCTTAGGAAATATTACGGAGTAGTATGCTTCTTTATTTGCAAGGATGCTGCAATAGTGAATCAGGTTTATTTTTCGATTCTAGCACCGAGATATCGATATCTGCATACAAAGCTCTCTGGGCCCGCAAGGAGGGAGGGAGGGAGGGGGGATTTGACTAAGATTTCCTCCTGTGGTAGCGGTATGTCTCGTACAAATGAAGTCTTTAGCATCATCAAACCCACAGCATTCCTCCCATTCAGTATCGTAGAGGCTTTTGAGTGCCCTATACAATGACTTGCGGTGGCTAGCCGGTGCCCTGAATGCTTTTAGCCCCCTAGGCCGGTTTCCTAAAAAAAAATTAACCTTGAAGGGATGAAAGCGTAACGATCAGGGGATCGCTCCCCGACCATACGTGTAATACTCCCACTTTCTGTGACTACACCAACTTCGTGATATGTATACTGAGTATTTACTACCTTTTTGTCTTTGGTAGGATTTTTTTCCGCAACGGATGAGCTCCCAGTTCCCGTCTTGAGCTCATTATGATCTGAAAGCCTCTGAAGATGTTGAGTAGGGGTTTTACATTAGAAAGGAGCTGTGCCGCAAAAACAAGGTAAACGAGATGAGCTGATGCTGAGTACTTACGCGTTTCTATCCATTTGTTTTTCATAGACGCGGCGTAACGAGCGGAGTAAATCTGAATAGCTCTGGGTTTTCCTACTCCAGGATAACGACGGTTCTCTCTTTTCGTTTTCGCGAGATTCTGATTCCAACAGTAATTGTTTTTGAGTTGCCTTCCAAAGGTTACTTACTAGTCACTAGAGGTAACCCTCTGTTTTAATCAACACTGTATTCCTCTTTCTTCGAAGGTCTTTTCGAGAAAGTGTTCCAGTTTTTCAGTTCCACAACAAGGCGAGCTGAAAATCACCACCGAATTTGGGCGAATCCTTGTTGGAATCCAAGAAATCGTCGTTATACCGCAAGGTCTGTTAAATTTTCGAGTTGTAGGTTCAAAGGGTTGTTGTTATTGTTCAAGAAGTACCTTAGAAGGCAAACACATCTTGCAGGGTTTACTTCTTGCATAATTAGATGGGTTATTTTGAGAAGAATTCGTCTTACTGAATGGGCATTTCGCAACAGCAGGATAGTCGAGCGTAAAAATAAAAGTGCACTTAATTAGTGGCCTTCTAGTACTAGTAAAGAGAGGTTCGAAGAAACCGCTGAGTATGCACAAAATGAAGTCCTCGTTACTCTCTTGTAGTTCCCTTGTTTCGTATATTGTATAGAGCCTTATGTGTATTTCAAGAAGCACGGGACGAGCATTTGTCTCCTAATATATAATATTAGGGCGGGACGGGGCGTGTCTTCCTGGTGGGCGTTGCTGTCTGACTTGAGGCCCCAATTGCACAGCGTCCAGGCTGTTTTTCGCGGTGGTAGCTCAGATATAAATGTTTTCCTCTATTGGGTAGGCATTTTTCTAGATGAATGTTCTAAATGGTTATAAGTCGTATTTTTTTCAAATGAGCTATCGAAAAAAGCTTTTTTAGAGCAGTGAGATAAGCAGTCAACAGATAGCACAGGCCCTTATTCAATGTGTTAGATTATTTTCCTTTTTGATGACGTTCTAATCCCGTGGTATGACTGTAAATAACGGATCACCTGCTTATTTTAACGGCATACGATTACTTTAAACACTTATAACTGCCTATGCAATGCTTACTCTTATCGAACCAAATGAAAAGCATGTGGAACCCTTAGAATTAAAAGAATTTTCTAATTAAAAAATAATATCGGAAAAATTCTGTAATTGTATCTCTTGCGTGGAAATCAGGTTAAAGAATGCCTGGTAGGTTTCATAGTTTTTCTTTTTTGACCAAAAATGCCACCTCTATTCGGTGGCAATATGAAATTGTCCAACTGCTGTACCTAATTCTTGTTTACGGCGTTGAGCCACACTACAGCCTTAATACAAAGAGATTGAAACAATCCCATCCTAATCATTCCCAAGTCTTCAACTGACTGAAATGGGTTCCTCTCTCCTAGTTGCATGAGTTTACTTCTCGGGAGCACGATGGATGTGTTGGGAGGCGGGAGGCGCTAGGGAGGCGCACTGTCGAGAAGTCGCCCACTTCTGTACGGTTTATCACCTCAAAAGTAGCCACGGTAGACGGTTTTGGAATGAAAGCAGGCCAAACTCGAATATCAGCTAACGTCTCAGAGTGTTCCACATGAGCAGATCCGGTCCATACTGATGAGCGCCCCCAATTGCTACTCCTGCCTCTGATAGATACCCCTTAACCAATGGAAATCTGAACATAAAGAGAGATCTATGGTACTAAGCTATGGTATTTGAATTGAAGTGTTTTATATCCATGCGTTTCGAAGTTTTTGTATGATATGGACAGAACGAGTTTGGACGTTCTGGATATGAAAACAACACGTGAAATTTGTTGTTTTGCTTTCAATTTAATTGTGCAATTGAAGCGATAACGCTCCAGAATGGCATGTTCAAGAGACCATTTGCAAAAATTCGAACACAACAAAATTTTTATGACTTACTCTCGACACCCTACCAACCGAAAAAAGAAGTTTTATATTTTGGGGGTGTTGCATTACATTTGAATATGTAGCAGTTCAGGTATCCGATTCTCAATCGCTGTTGATGGACCATCTCGAGGTTACGTTCTTGAAGTCTATGGTACACACTTTCAACTTCCTGATCTGGGGCCAATAGGTGAGTTATCAGGAACCTCAGCTAACAGAATTCCTGAGTTTTTNTTTTTTTTTTATTTTTGTGTTTACTATTTTTGAGGGGTGTCATTTTAGCCCTTGTAATGGGAAATCCTCCCTTCAAGACCTGCCACCGTTAAATTTTATCGCTATTGTGGTCCTTTTATCAAAATGTCATTTCGCAGTCCACATACAATCACTGGACCCTTTTAAGGTCCTAAAGAAAATGCGCAGTGAACTCAAAAACATTGTTGAACCCTTCCTAGAACATTCGCTTTCTCCTTCCTTGTGCTCATTATTCTGAAACTGAAGCATTCCTGCGGCTCTACGAGACTAATTTCTCCCTAGCCATCAGTTCTCTAAACTACTGCGACTTATACGACAACTGAAATGCTAGGAAGATCTTCCGATTCCCGATATCCGATAGGCGAAACAGGGGAAGTTCCTTATGTGCATATAACGGTTAATATTGCTGTTGGGCAGGTCTTTGAGTACTGTATGGAGCTGGCAATTAGCATTTGGGTGCAGAAATGTTCTTGTAATCTTTCGTTTGCTTACTCTGATCCCCTGATCCCCTCAAGATATAAGTAGGCTCGCTATCCTATCTAAAGGGTTTATTGAGCTTTTTCGTATCTACGTAGATAATGGCTGCTTCTACGGCTAGGGACGGACTTTTGTGGATATCTTCGAGTAAAATTGACTTTGTCACAGATTCTTAACTAACATTTCTTTCCCATGTCGGACTTGATTGCTGAGAATTTCTCAGGCAGTGGTTCGATTGAAAATAGCTCTGCCGACAATCATACTTCAAGAGATCAGTGAGCGCCAACAATAGTTCAACTTTTTCTTGCGAAAATTAATTAGATAAAAAGTCTCGAGCAATTACCCAATTCCCCTTAAGTCGATTGAGGTCTAGTGAAGATCTGCGATTTCCCGGAAATAGCTCGTATCAGAGCTATCTTTCGTTTTAGTTGAATTGGATAACGAGCCTTGCAATTTTATTGCTCTATTTTTTGCATTTCTCTTAAGTATGATCCCACCTTTTGTCCACCATATCTCAGTGATTTTCCAAAGTTTTTTCTCCTCAGTGAAAGCCTAAATAACTCACGTAATGAAAAAATCGCCTTTCGTCATACAAATGATCATGGTTCATTCATGAAGTGAATAAAATATGTCGAGCTCGTAAATGTTCTGTCCACAAAGTTTAAGCGAATGCTCAGATGGTATCTTAGAAATGACTCCTAAAGCCTCAGGCAATGTGGAGAAGTCGTTGTGTGTTTTGATTAGCCAAACAGTTATTACGGTAACCAACAGTACTCAGATAACATATGATAAAAAAAAGCACTAAAAGAAAAACGTGAAGTACAAATTGTTGTTAAAGTATAGAGAAATGTCATTTCTTCTTTTCTCATGAATCTTTTGAATTTCAAGGAGCGAATGGACTGGCAAATCCTCGTGACTTCGAGACACCTATGGCATGGTTCGAGGACGTTGACATGCCATTCAAAATCTACAATAAGTACCAGGGAATGTTCTTCGTAGCAGAACAGGTATGCGACCTATATTCCGTTCATACTTGGAGCATAAAATCATTTAAATCATTTATCAGTTCCTAAGAGTTTGAAATGACATCTCAAATGGTAGCACTGTACCAGGCTAGACGGGTGGACCTCCCCTGCCAAGCGGTAAGGGACAAACTGAACGATAAAGCCTAATAGAATCCATTTTACGGAATTCTTTGTGTTCCATCAATAATATGTGGTTATCCTAACAATCACCTGTGTATTTAGAATAAACGAAAAATCCATATTTCCATATCAAAAGGGGTCTATGATTTCTTCCGGATGGTTAAAAATCACCACAAAACGATAGACTGCCGGGATCACATACCTGGAAAATTCCTAGGTTCTGAAGGTTTATATCAGATCATCATTTGACAATCAAGCAAAACTGGTAGAGGTAGTAATAATTCGACGCCATTTTCTGGGGTCATATAAAAGCGAGTGGTTTACTTGGCATTTGTCTTTTTTACTCCTAAAAGAGAGGACTTTCAGGATCACTCCCCATTTGATGTGGTGGCATGGCATGGGAACTATGCTCCTTACAAGTATGACCTACGCAAGTTCAACGTCATCAACACCGTCTCATTCGACCATTGCGTGAGTTTGCCCTCCTTCCCTTGGTTTCTCCTCCAGCCCCGTCCTCCAACAAGTGTTGCCTACGCCTTGTTCAAAGTTTACTTTTGGGGATTAGCAACACTCCTCGAATAGTCCTGGAATACACAATTGAGCTTTTTTGAACATTCCAAACTACTTCGTTCTACCGCTTTCTCTCGAAACAAAAGGGGCATCGATATATAATAGTTATGTATCATTCAAAAGTACAAGGATATTAGTAACTTACTGATCAATCACATCAATTACTTACATATTCTTATATGGTTGATAAACGATTGCTCCCTACCGGAGACTTATCATGATATGGCCATTACCACCCAATTACTAGATGGCTTTTTCAGGATCCGTCGATTTTCACTGTGCTCACAGCGCCATCAGT